CAGCTGTGGCCGCAGTGGTGCTGGGCGAGATGAGGTGCAGCGGCCCAGCTGGGACCTCTTCCCGTACCTTCAACTTTTAGCTGGCCAGATACGTCGCAGAGGGTACTGTTTGTTCTCTACAAGGTTTTATTGACAACTATAAATATGATTTCTTTGTGTTCATTCAATATGCTGTTTTCCACTAGAACCAAGGCCCGCAAGATGGTTGGCAGCACTGGCCCTGCCACAGGGGTATTGGAGACACCAAGGGGTATGTGAAATAGTTGGCAACATTGACTTTTAACAAAGTCTTACTCTCAATTTAGATATCAAAGTACATTTAGGCATTGGTGTGTGAGTGGTTTCATGAATTTTGTGCTCATTCATGTTCAACATTTACATTGTGTTTCAACATGCAGATCTCCTCATGGGGGTCTACACGCCATGTGGGGGAGGTGCCACCGAAGACATGGCAGAGGAAAGTTGTGAAGCCAACCTGGACGACGTAAGTGCATTGTCTTGAAGCAACCTGTTTTAAGTGCAGTGCAGGAATGTGCCCATTTTCTTTGTAGAACTCCCTCGATCGTAGCCTGCAGCCAACGGCCACCTGCCAGGTGTTGCTGACGCTGGAGGGGGATGGCCAGCTGCCCAGCCCATCTCAGCTGGACCCGACTCCTCCGGTGTCACCACCCCAGGTGGCTCCAGTGGCAGCACCGATGCAGGCTACGGTCTTGCCCGCAGTGCCTCCACACCCGCCTTCAAGGAAGCTAGGCCGCAAGATTACCGCCTCGGAGCGTCGTGCCCGGGAGGATGCAGCGCTGGGCAAGGTTCTTAGTGAATCTACGAGGCAAATGGCCAACACATGTAAAAGGCCACACATTGATGCGTTAACTCCAGAAATGGCACTGGGGTTTCATTTTGCCAACGAGCTGGCGGCCCTTCCACCACATCTGAGGTGCCTTTGCAAGGAGAAAGTACTGAAGGTGTTCCACGAATTTGAAAAAAGAAATCTAGTAGAAAAAGGCCTTATTTCTTTAGATTAGAGTAGAAAATGATATTTTTGACAAGGTTTGCCTATACAGTCATGGCTCATTAATATGGACACCTCCATTCCCTGAAAAAATCATCCGTAATAACAAATCGCAGTCTATACCCGTTTTCACCTCAAGAACCGAAGTAAAAAAAGTTTGGCTCCTCGCGGAGCATTACTACTTTTTCCTTTTATGAGGAGAATTATATGTAGGTGCATTTTAGATTAGATATATGTAACCTTATCAAGATGTATACATTTCAAGCGCCAAAAGCATCGCTTCTTCCTCCGACAACCAAATCTTGTAAGAACTACTACGCCCGGCGTATGAACAATGTGCAAAACGTCCTTTTTTTCTTGAGGTGAAAACGAGTATAGAACGCATGCAATTCTTAGATAACGAGCGTAGACAATATCGTTCAGCCTTTCCACTCTCGTGAAAAAGGAAGACCAGCGGAGCTGTACTCGATACACTGTGTGATTCTTCTTCGTCGTCGTCCGTTTTTCGCGCTGTTTCCTATGATGAATTCTACCAACGCGCCCAACTATCCATTCTTCTATTATAGCTGGAAAGGTTGCCGCCATCTACGATCGACGGCGGAAATCATACTGGTTGTGTGCTTGCCGCCATTGGTTATAGATGGCGGTAGCTGTCCAGGCAGGTTTGTGTCGACATACCGGACACGATCCTGGGGAACCTAGCCCTTAACAGCTCCGCTGTAAAAAAGGCATGGTATATTTAACCACAAATTTATGGGATGTAAGTTTTCAATGTTACTTTTCGGCCCACTTTTCTGCCGAGAAAGCGTGCACAGTCAATCTTGCAAAAGTAAAGATAAGCTTTTTTCTTTTATGAGGGGGTGGGTCTTTAACATATTGCACATGTCCTGAAGTCTTTTCAGTTTTGAATTTGTATATCTCTTTTTTTGAGCTGAGCTAACAGCTTTGTTTGCTTACATTTCACACTTGCCATGGCCTCTGACCATTTTGCTTCCCACCAGATATTGTCTTTCCCACTTCCTAACTGACCACAAAACCGTGCAACCTTGCTTTTTATGCACTAAGAGTGCATCTGACAAATGAATGGGATTTATCACATGCCGTCCTTGACCTCAAACAACAATCGGGGGGGCAAAGGGCACATTAAGGCTGAAAACCTTACCATCTTTAGGTAGGCAGGTCTTATCTCAAGACAGGCCACAAACATTTGTGTACAGACTGTGACCTCTAGGGTTCACATTGTTTGTGTTGACCTATTTTAGAAAACTTTCATTCATATTAAAGAGACAAGAATGCATGTATATTCCCAATTCATTCCCCAAAAAAGTGGTTCATAGTTCGGACTGTGGGTTTCTATATTAACGGGGCACAATTACATAGCAGCAAATCCCTCTGTAAAATATTTTTTTCAAAATTGCAGAGCGTTTATAATAACAGGGTCCATACTAATGAGATGTGACTGTATATACTTGTTTGCCAAACTAACCTCAACCTTGTCAAGTTGCCACTTTATTTTCGGGAGGGCCATTTGAGTATAGAAGTTTTAATAAATTTGATTACAAACAGGAACACCAGATTTATGTGGTGTTCCTGTTTGTTCCAGTAACACGGCTATGGTTCCTGTTTCAGTAACACGGCTAAGGTTCCCATTGTATGCCTGTTTGTAGCCGGTGGTCTGTTTGAATAAAAAAACGTACAGCTCAGAAAGGAAAAAAAATAACGGGTAAGCTTTCATGTATATACTCTCCAAGAATAAATAAGCAGATATTGCCTCTGTAGATAAAAGAAACCTAAATAGTACCTTGAATTTAGAACCATATTTAGATTGAAAACACCAAACCTTGCCCAATGATTTCATGCCAGGTAAAAGGCCTCTTGCAATATTTTTTACCCTTTTAGTTTCCACTCTTGTTGCTTAATGGCTTCCCACTTTGCTGGGTGCATTGAAACTTTATATTGTGTTTTTGTTTATATTGAGACCTGCCAACCAAGTGCAATATGTTTATTTTGTTCCTATTTACTTTAATTGTGATAATCTATTGTCAGTGACAGGTCAAGAACGGAGTATGAGTGGGAGAGGAGGAACCAGACGGGAGGTTGGAGCTGAGGTTTTTCCTCTCCAACCCAAGCTTTCGCCCACCCCCTCCTCTCCCACTCGGTTTTTACCCCCTTACTGACTACAGACTACATATGTACTGCTTTCCTTGCTTCCCAATACAAAGTACTCACAGCTAGTACTTACCAAATAAAGAAACTATTTTGGGATAGTTCTGTGCCATTTAATTAACAGATTTCTCTACATAATTTGTCATACACAAACTGAAAAAAATGAATGATCCCATTGAAAACTATGTCGCATGCCAGCAAAGTAATGATGAATAATATAGACTATCCGAGATGTTATAATGTACTATAGTGACCAGTATGCTGGCTGCTATAGTACATCAGTGCATGCCAGCACTCACTAAACTAAAAAAGAAAAAAAGCAATGCCTACAGGCATACTCTTGGTATATTTTGTTCTTTCGTTCTACGACCATGCATTGCTTGAAGCTTGCACCAAAGCATTTGTTTTTATGTCCCATAATGTCGCCATGTACCTTCAGTTTTCATAAATATGCCCCAGTGTGATCACACATTATACTTTTCCTGAATTACAATTGTCGCCTGTGTTCCGTATAGGTTTGGTCAGCACTTTGACTGAAATCTCGGCTACTTGGTGCTTGCTTCATCAATTTTTGGGCACCTCTGGCAGCAGAAAGCAATACTGCCTCGAACTCTAGGCTGTGAAATCATTTATGAGGTCAAACATATTAATGGTAATGCTCGATACAGAATGCAGAGAAACTGACAACACTTGCAACTATTCAAACAAAATGCTACACAGCAAATAAAATGGGGTCACCGAAAAAAGAAAAACACATTTCTGGCAAGGCATGGGGAAAAAACAGCTTCAGCCAAACAACCCGAGCATCGAACTGAGACCTGTAGCAAGCTCCTGTTGGTGTGTATTCCTACTTGGGACAACCAGACTGGGTGGAGCGCTTTCTGCTCACTCAAGGCCACACGAAAAATTCCTCATTACTTTGGATTTTTTGAAGTCACATAGTGCCAATATGCTTGAAAACCCACAAAGCATTTTTGTCACCTCGGACATGTCACACGTAATTCAGAGACAAGTTAAAGCGAAAATTTCATAGTAAGATATTTGAAAGTACGCTTAAAAACAATCCTCTGGAGAAAGCAATAACCTGAAAGAATATTTAAAGCACCCGGACAAAGGCGACTAACAAATTCCGTCTGGTTTTCTTCGCGAGTTCCCCGAGACAACCAAAAATAACTGACTGTTTCAGGGACTTCCAACGCTGTTATTTCACTGACCTTTCATGTGTATACGAGGTAAGTAAGATAAACAGAAAACGAGTAGTCTAATCATGATACTGCGCGTCATTAAAACTAATATAAAATATGTATTTCTCTGTGGATCACATTTCCATGACCGGATGACGACTAAACAGTCGTGCTTCTCCTGCGTTAATTTTCCTGCTCAACGAAAAAATTGCTGGCACTCATCTTTGCTCCATAAAACACATCCAGTGCGCCAAGGTTGAAAGTGCATTATAACTTCATTAAAAATATTTCTAAATATTTTACATATAAGTGATGGCGTATTAAGCACTGGACAATAGTTTCTGAAATAATAAAAAAAATGTGTCAAACGCACAAAAAAACATGAATACACTACATTTGCTCGGCACGAACAGCTACAGATAGTCGAGCAAGAAACTTCATTCATTTTATGGCGGCCATGTCACGTCGTCCCAAGATGGGACGTGATGGGACGTCATCCCAAGATGGGATATGGCAGAGGGTGAAAAGGTCCCCAGGACCAAAGGTACAACTAGAGCGACTGTACATTGTGATGAATAATTGGTGACGATGCCAACAGGGCAATTTCCCGGAAATAACATTTGCATATGCAGTGAGTGGCCTTAGGGACAACTGGGTGCTTGGACAGCTGGTGTCAAGCCTTTGTAAACATTTTTGTACTGCCATGTAACTTCGCCAGCGGGGCAGCAGAAGTACCGAGCGTATGTCTGTCTCACCTTCTTGGCATCGTCATTGTACATGTTTGAGCTTGTGCGGCCCACGTCTACAAGGGCACCGCCATCGTTCACCTCGGCCCTCCACTGGCCAAGCACCACATCCCCAAGCGCACCTTCTTGGTCGGCATAGCCAGCAGGGCAGTAGCGGCGTTCCCCTTGCTCATTCTCGTCACACGTCCTCAGGTAGTTGTGCAAGCTGACGCATGCCCAGACAATCGCTTCCAGATTCTCCTCTGAGGCCTGGATCGGCTGCCTGAAGATGCGCCATCTTGCAACCAAGATGCCAAAGGTGTTCTCTATAACCCTCCGTGCTCGTGAGAGCCTATAGTTGAACACCTTTGGCACCACCGTGAGGTCTTTCCTTGGATAAGGGCGCATGAGGTTTGGGAGCAGGGGGAACGCCTCATCAGCCACAAACACGTAGGGCAGCTTAGTGCGTGTTCCAGGGAGGTGTGCAGGGGGGGAAGGTCAAGGCCTCCAGTCATTAAGGACTGCCCCATTTCGGAGCCCCGAAAAATACCCCCGTCGCTGAAACGACCTGGCTGGCCGACATCCACAAGTGTAAACTTGTATGCAGCATCACAACTTTCAAGGAGGACGATGCTGTGGAATCCCTTGTAGTTGTATGTGTCGGAGCCTGCGCTAGGGAGGGCTTGGATGGTCACGTGTTTCCCATCCACAGCTCCGACACAGTTAAGGAAATTCCACAGCCTTGCGAAGTTGCCTGCCATCCGCTCCCACTGGGCCATGTTGGGAGGCTAGAACAATAATGTACTTATGAGTTGTGGTCAGTTCGACCGCCACATGAAAACCACACTCAAGGCACTGGACCGGACACCAAGAAAACAAGAACGCTGTTTCAATAGAGAATTCAAGGCTAGGTGTTTGTGGTTACAGAACACAATACAGTTAGAAAAGCAATTCACGAAACTCGCAACATCCGAAATGGCAGCACAGCCCTTGCTGTGGTTTTTCCATATATTGCGATTCTGCTTATATTGTCACGTCCGCACTTGCTTCCACCACCAAGTGTCTTCCGCGACTATGTTGACAAGAGGCTTATTTTGCTATGTGGATTGCAAAGGTCGATCTAACGCAAAAGTTAACCTACCCTAGCCTGGGACGAGGCCGTGTCAGAGCTAAAAGCAGCCGCCGAAATGCTGCGGAAAAGTAGGTGCTGATGAAATGTTTCGAGATATGTGAAGCATAAACTCACATTTTCAAGCTGATTAAGCAGTCGACGTACAATTGTGTGCAGATTGTGGCAGCTACGACAAGACTACCTCACCAAAGCATGTGTTTCTTTGGAACAACCACTATTGGAGTCAACATCAGCAGCTCAGGAAACAGCAGACGCAGAAATATGAAGCAAAATCTGGCATGCAAAGCAGTCGCGGCCCCGCATAAACTCATGTTTTCGAGCTGATTAAGCAGTAGACATACAATTGTGTGTAGATTGTGGCAGCTACGACAAGACTACCCCACCAAGGCACGTGTTTTTTAGAACAGCAGCTATCACGGTCAACATCAGCAGCTCAGGAAATAGCAGACGCAGAAATATCAAGCAGAAGCTGGCATGGAAAGCAGTGGCGGCCCAGCATAAACTCACATTTTCGAGTTCATTAAGCAGTCGACGTACAATTGTGTGCAGATTGTGGCAGCTACGACAAGACTACCTCACCAAAGTATGTGTTTCTTTGGAACAACCACTATTGGAGCCAACATCAGCAGCTCAGAAAACAGCAGACGTAGAAATATAGAGCAAAACCGGGCATGCAAAGCAGTCACGGCTCAGCAAAACCCTATTTTTTAAAGCGTTGTTTCATCGCTACTTCTAACACTCTGGCTGCGGGCACCTGGAAGAGACGACAAGGCGCTGAGGGACACCTTGTAGGAAGCATTCGCCATCCTAATTGGTCGAGGGCATCTGTCGCTTCCGTAGGGAGACACACCATAGCACGAATGTAACGAAAAACGTATATGCCGTCACAAACTAGCCTCACAGGTGTTCGGGTCGTTGTCAAAAGTGATGTTCAGAGGGACTGTTAGCATTTAGTAACCAGCATTTTAACCTACCTTTTCACCCTTTTAAAGGGTTACATTGTTCCGTTTGTGATGTGACGCAGGCAAACGAAGCGCGCTGTTCCGGCTGACCCACATGCGTGCCAGTATGTCAATCCCGTTCTCATTCTTCGTATACAGCTTTGCCCTCACGGTTTCTTTTGCTGGAAAGGTGCTGAGTTTCATTTCACCTCTGGTATTAGTGACACCGTATCACCGTGAAATTGCTCGTGCGCATCAAAGGCCTCCTGAGTTCGCTAGAGCCATGGCCAGAGAAGGCTCATCTCGCCAGTTGAAGCAGGCGAGACTTACCTGTTTTGCGGCGGTACAACTGGAGCGTTTGCCCAGCGTTGGTAGACGAGCAAAAAAACTCGTGCGAAGAGGGGCGTACGAAATGACGGGGATGGAGGAAGTTGCATGACGTTTTGAGCAGATATCCTCGCGGCTTCGTCGTGCATTCGGTTGCTACGAGCTGGTGCGAGCAGACTACAAGGAGATGACGCATGGAAGAACACGTTAGGGGTGTTGGCCATCCTCATTGGCTGGGGAAATCCATAAATTCCACACTGCTGCACGGAACTACTGAGATGGAGTATAGACACGAGCCATGTTTTGCTTGCCTTTCGGAGCATACACAATAAGGGCTGTGTTGCACATGCCTCATGCACTGGTGACACAGTTAAGTGCTGTGCTTACAGTTCTGTACAGTGGGTCCAGCACTCTATGCAGCGCCCGACAGGTTTCCCCAATAATGAGGGAGGTCGTTGAGCGTCCGATCCTGTAACAGGATGCGCAGATTCTCTGCGAGGATCCGTGCGCCAGGTACCTGAAACATTGAAATTGAGAGCCACCATAAGCACATGTAAACAAGGAGGTGGCCTAACAAGTCAACCTTACAGCGGTAAGTTTCAATAAGCCTCCAATTGCATACAAGTGGACTGGAAAACTATGCCAGTAGTTGCTATACACTGTTTCACCTTGTGTTGTACCGCAGGAAAGGCTACAAAAGCGCGAGCTCCTTGCTCTATGGCGCACCTCGGCAGCACAAGATTTCGTGCACCAAGGGCAGCTGCCAACACTATGAGCTCGCGCTTCTAGCCTTCGCTGCGGTACAACATAAAGTGAAACGGAGTATAGCAGTAGTCTAGCATATAAAAGAAGACAAAATCACAGAGAGTAATGGTCGTGCCATCTTCTCACCTACCTCCTAGGCGATTTTAAATAAGAAAATTAGTTTACAGAAAGTTCATTTATAAATTCCTGTTATTCGCTTCGTCTACCTTTCTGTCTTGATTAAACTAGTTTGGTGAGGAAGACCATTGAGTAACCTTCAAGGAGACTGAAGCGCCGTTCACACTCTTGCGGCCAAGTGAGACTGAGAGAGACCAGACCGGTTTTTAAGCCTCTTGCAATCTCTTAGGACCAGCTCCGCTGCAGCGCACCCGGTCCTAAAAAATCGCAAGAGGCTTAAAAACTGGTCTGGTCTCTCTCGGTCTTACTCAGTCGCAAGAGTGCGAATGGCGCTTGAAGCGGGTAAAGAATTGTGCCAAGGTGAAAATCAGAAAAACATAACAAAAATAAACTCTACAAGTGAGGCCCCTCCTCGCTTCAGCATGGTGCAACACAAGACTGCTGTGGTGTTGTGACAAAGTGAGATACAGGTGGAGCATCCCGCCTAATGCATACTTCAGCACAGAAACAGGTCTATTATGTTGACGAAATGTTCAGGGATGAAAGTGCACATGCGTTAAGTTTCAATTATCAAATCTCTACAACCGATGTTTCAATATTGGGGGAGGAAGGGGGAGGGCGTCTGCCACGCAAACAAAAAACAACCAACAACCTCGTCAGCAACACCTCATTGAGGCAGTATCACGGAAAATATGAGCTACAACAGCCCTTCATGCTTTCGCGTACATATCTCTGTCCGTTTCAGGAGAAGTTTTGATCCATATTAGACCTGCAATACAAAGTTCAGGTACCATTCTTCCCACTTTTTCGCAGATCAAGAGATAATAAGGTTTACTACATCCGCACGAATAGCAAAAAGCAAAATTGACTGTTGCAACTCATATTCGCGGTAGTACGTTCGGAATCCCCCGAATGTAATCAAGGTATGTACTTCCTATAAGGTGTCCTGGCTTACCGGATTGTTAGCGATAGCCGCTCCGCTGGGGAGATCGGCTTCCTCCAAGGAGTTGCCTCTCGTTGTAGTTGGGGCCCAACCAGAGCAAGTAGCTGGTCGAACCTGCACAAAAATAGCAGTCAGCTCCTGTGTGCGCGGCTGGCTTCGTTTTTCAAGCGATTCCTAGGGAGGAACACACACACACCTTTGCCGCGTCATCCTGAAGTACTGGAAGAAGTCGCTCCCGTTGTCCAGACGCATATCTCGAACGAGGTGATGGAACTCGCCAAACGTTTCCCTCGATCGAAGACGGAACCGTATCCACTCTCGACAGTGGCGCCTTCGTCGAGACCGCAGAATCATCGCAGCGGTGGCTCGCGCTATCAGTGCCCAGTCCGTGTCGCTACCGGATTGAGCAACGTAGCTCTCGATGCACTGAACAAACAGCGCATGCAGCATATCGGGACTTTCGCAGTTCGAGGGAGACATGTCACTGCTACAGACCATACGACAGTCGACCGTACGCTCGCTGGCCGCCATGTCTGTCAGTGTTGCCTGGCTAGCTCGCTTGCTGTTGGCTAATCTCGGACAATACAGGTGATTTGCTATTGGTCGTTGCATGTTTTCAACGGAGCTTTTACGGAGCAGTGTGAACGTGCTGTACGCAAGCGGAACGTAACGTTAACATAACATAACGTAACGTAACTTAACATAACGTAAGAAACGGCCCAGTGTGAACGGGCCTTAACAGGGAGTCGCAGAATAAGTTACGGGCAAGTTCACGCAGTGCAACGGCCGAACTTTCCTCTACAGCGCCTTCGACCTGCACGTGCACGCTTCCACAAATGCGTTGTAAACAAGAAAAGCGCCCGGGCCGCTACAATTCACTGATGCGCGACGAAATCAGGGCACCCCTTTACCTGCCGATCACATTGAACGCCGAGAAGCTGGTGGAAAGGACTGCACTTAGGGAACAAACGGCCGGGACACCGGGCACCTTGCAACGTGTGCTCACATCTCGAAACTATGCTGAACAGGTGGAAAGCTCGGACACAGACACCAGTGGCCAGCATACGTACTGACATCCCCTGTGACTAAATGTCAGAATGTGAAAGGGTACTTTTTAAACATGTAGCAGACGATAGCGTTGATACACCCGTAGCAGACGAAATACCTCCACTTAGCTACTCGGCGAGCGCGGGCGGCGCGGACGACCAGCGGAGCAGCGGAGTGATACAAAAGTGCAGGAGAGATCGCGTGACCTATAACCAGCGTGTGATTGGCTCCGGCTGCACGTAGCTTTGGCTGCGCTCGGACGAAAGCTGAAACGAAGTATAATCGCGCGGAATTGTACGCCTAGATAACAAAATGTATTGGACAACACTTTTCACGCACCCATTAAAGGGACCATGAAATTACCTTTTTTACTTTTGCCAGATAACTTTTACCGTCAATGTTCACTGAATGCCGAACAGGCATTTGCTTTCGTCTCGGTTTATTAACCTCTACACACAAAATTAATGAAATATCGACTTTTTCTCTCTCTCCAACTGACCGCAAAACAAGCTGTGGCGTAATTTTGACGGTCCTGACCTACGCTGTTTCCGGAACCGGAAGTTCCCTTGGCAGTAGGAGAATGGGAGCGTTAGCGACGGCGAGTTGGCGGTGTGCCGGTAGGTTTTACTGCACTGATCTCACCGATCTATTTTCTGAATCGGCGCCTGTCATCACATCGCAGCTGAGCGAGATTAAAGGAGTCATGAAACGCTTTTTCAACTTTTTTCTGTTTAGCTTTCCTTTTCAACTCATAAATCGCGCATTGTACCAAACAGTTCAAGAAGTCGGAAAGGGGGGAGTCCCCTCTTGCTCGGAATCTTGCTTGACTAGCCGGACACAGCCATTGTCCCCCTAGAAGATTAGCCCGTCGCTCAAAATTCCGACTAGTTGCTTTCCCCACCCCGTTCACCCCGAAGCTGACAGTGCTGTGGAAGCTACGTGCTCGTTGGGCCAGCCACACATTTTCCACGTGATCACGCCCTCTCGCGCATACCGATCCGCAGAGAATGAGGTCAGGTGATGAAAGGGAGACGGCTGATTGGTCCGGCAAGCGCGTAGCTTCCACCGCAATGTCAGCTTAGGGGTAAAGGGATTAAGTGAGGTCCGGTGTCGTGTGACGTGCGCTTGGGCCCTGGTGACGCGCTGCGGGGGCCCGGTTATGGTGGCTAGTAGCCCGGTGACGCGCTGCGGGGTCCGCGGATGTATCACAGTGAAAAGGCGGAGAGTTTACGAAGGGAAGGAGGTACGAAATAGTCCGCTATGTTTTGCAAATTTTCGTAGCGAAAGTCAGGCTTCTGACTTTCTACCTTTGTTCTTTTGGCCCACTGAACGATGTGCTATTAGTAAAATCCCAATATAAATTGATTTACTCCAGCCTAAAATTCGTTTCATGGGTCCTTTAAATTAGATATGTTGCGCTACAGCGACAGCATGGGACTAGTCCCATACGTATGCCGGTTGGGAAGTGCGGCGAGTCTTCGGGTGAACACTCCAGAAGTCAACCCAACTGCTCTTGTTGGTAAAAGGCGGCCCGTGACAGTCGTTTGCAAAGCGACGTAGATAGAGACACCGCGGCGTTTTTCGCAGCCTCGGAAATGCAGGAGCGAGCCGACGTTAAAAATACACGTTTGAGCTACGAGAGTGTCAGCAAGAGCCACGTAAATACCTGTTCACACTCGGAGCGGACGCTCGCGTTTGATAAAAGTGCGCGCTGTCGCTAAGCGCTTCGGGACCGATGTTTTACGATTGCAACCCGATACTGACGCGATACTCGGCAAAGAAAGGTTGGACCGGCATTGCACGTAGCTTTCACGAACTGTTATAGCTCGACAGTGACGTGCGCTCTGTCAGAATAAAAATGGCATACCAATAACAAAGTGTACCTACCGTGTTGCGAAGGTAATCCATACTGCGCTTATTTGAACTATATCGCATAAAACAAGAAGATAGAATCGAGGAGAGTCCCTTTTCGACGAGTATTCGTCAACACCGCCTCGGAAAACAAGGGGAAGAAATTGATCTCAACCCTTAATCTAAAATTGGGGTCAGCGATCAAAATACTGGAAGGGTCCATTCAGCACGCCAGCCGGTCGTGGGCAGACGGTCTTGTCGTGGTCGAAGCAACGCTGCGCCGGAGTGCCTGCTAGGCCTCCCTCGGTCGCGGGTCGGTGAATTCGTGGCCGTTCTGGCTTTCCTCGGGTGTTTGTGGATCCAGCGTTCTTGTTCGTCGTAGTCTGTTTCAAGCACTTTTTTCTTGCTGCTTGAAGTCGGCACGCGCGAGAAGAACACGCAGAAAAATAAACGTTCGTCGGTCTTCGCGACCCAAGTACCTGAAGTCGGCCCTGCCCTACTGAGCACGCGCAGTAGTTGCTTCGTTTACCACACGATAGATGGCGCTTGGCTCTCAGCATTATCAAATTCGGCAATTTTCGTCACATCCCTAATTATGCTACAAAATGTGGATCCGAATATTATTTAACAAAACTTTTACGAAACATTCGCCGGCTATTTATTGTTTACGATCGCGGTGCTGGTGAGGTAGGCTCTTACCCAATAGGCGACGTGGATTCGGCTGACGTGCTCCGTTTCCGCGGATACATCGCAGTGAAAAGGCAGCGAGCTTTCGAAGGAAAGAAGGCGCAAAAGAGTCCAGTTTTCTTTTAAAAGTTCTATAGCGAATAATTTTTTTTCGCTCCCTATTTTTGTGTTTTTGTGTTTCTTTTCACACCTTTTACGACGTCCGGTGGATGAAATTCGATTTTAAAATCATTTCATGGTCCCTTTAATGACAAACGTACGTTCACCCACTCACGTCATCGCATGTAAAGCTATATACAGGGTTTTTTACTATTGTATTCACGTAACTTGAGAATGCGCTGTTTATAACCGTATTTCTTCAATAGCCCGCAAAACTTTTGGTTACGAAAACCAAACACATTCAGGATTCCGTCGCTTGCGGAAATACCTCTCCTACCGCCAGCACATTGTTCGCGGATTTACTCCCTCTACTGTGCAAGGATGGCAAATAATTCGTTACAAATAAAAAAAAAATTTTTCAAAGTTGTTTATTTTTTTTAAAATGCTACAAATTTGAACGTTGCATCTGCCGAATAGGTTCTTGTTATGAAACCTCAAATGTTTGGCCTCCAAAGTGTCGGTTTCATCGGTCTTGAAAGCATCTGTGCTTCCACGCAAGATCACTATTTTAAAGCGGACATCCAATGCAACGAGGAACATATGTTCGTCATTTCTTTGTGCGCAAGCAACTAATACCACAAGTTCTCGATCCGACAAGGGTCGCAGGACTAGTTTCTTTGAGGTAAATTATTGTAAGGAACTAAGGGAAATAATGTTTATAGATGTCAAGACGGTTTTTGATAATAAAATGCTTAGGTCGTTCGGTAGATCTAGGCTTTCTTAAGTTATTAAGGGCAGTTCGTAAGTATTGGAGGGTTTAATTTTGGGGATTGTGTTGCGTACATTGGTTCACGACAAGGATGGATCCTGAATGTTTTGCTAGTTTTCATTTGCATGAACGACCCCATAAAGAGCCACCTGTTAAAGCTAAATTATTTGCCGACGACTCAGTTATATCTCCAGGGGTTGTCTCGAAATTGTCAACTTATACTTTACGCACATTTATATGCGATGAACGAGTGGTGTAAACGGTAAATGTCCTTAAATCTAAATGTTGATATATGCCTGAATATTTTGTATAAACGACAGCCGTTAGGATGCACGCGTACGTAGTAGGGAAGAGTGCTCTGCCAAGTCTCAAGGTCTCACCATTGCCTCGAGCCTAAGTAAGACACCACACGTTGACAACAGAGTCGGGAAGGCAAACAAAATGCTAAGGAACATTAGCCGCTCGCTTCAACCCACTTCGTCAAAAACGAAACTGAGGCTTACAGGCTGTTAATACGTCCGTTACTAGAACACGCTTGTGAAATCTCGGACCCGATAACTAAATATACAGTTTTAAATAGGGGATAGTGCAACGGCCTGCGTTCCATTCAATATATTCTTTTTTATGGTACCCTAGTCTCAGTATGACCTTTCTTGTAACATAGCTAAATCGACCCCTACAAAAAAAGCAGAAACGATTGACCTTCACTTACAGTGTAAATGCCGCCCCAGTTTTTGAAAAACAAACAGAAGTATTTAAATTTTAAAAACATGGCGCCAGTAACCTGTGAAAATTAGGCTTACCATATATCTAAATCAAAAAGGCTTATAAGGATTGTTTTAGGTACTCATTTTTATGCAAAGCAGAACGAATTTCCGTCCCCTGTCTCAGACATTTTGACCCGTTAATTTCTTTATGTTTTTCATTCCAGTTTACTGGATAATTTTTTTTTTTGTATTTGCCCTTTACGTGCGTTTCTTGGAGTGTGTTTCCTCGATGGTATTCTAAATAAATAAATAGATAAACTTCCAGATTGCCGTTAATTCAAATTTACGCTGGTAAACTGGAATAATCCATG